AGGGGCAAAGGATAACGCTTATGCTTGTGCTGTTTCCCCTAGAGAATGCCACCCTTGCTGACCACACCCTTCCCTTCCTCAACCAATCTCACTTCCTCTTCACCCCAGGCCAGCCATCTCCCAGTATTCCCGGAGTACTTGGAATTTCTGCAGCACTGCCTGTGTCTGTCACCTTTATGAACCTATAATCCGTATTTATTTTCTGTTACTTGCTGTTTTGCATTCATGTATACCTCACAAGAAGGCAATATAGGGCAGTGGTTAGGAACATGGACAACTGAGTCAGACCACCTGGATTTGAATCCCAGCCCCGTAAGTTACTTATTAGCTGTGTGAACTTGGCAAGTGACCTATTTCCTCTCTGTCTCCTCATCTGTGAAAAGTGAATAAAATAGCACCTACGACAGGGCTGCTGAGAAGAGGAGATGACTGAACACCCGTAAGGTGCCTAGAACAGTGCCTGGCGCCCGGCAACGCCAGCAGGCGGGAGCTGCTGCTGTCAGAATCACTGTGATCTTCCCCATCTAGGCTGGAAACTCTTGGAGGTTTTTCAAACCACAGATACTCTTTTAGATTTCTTTTGCATCCCCTCCCCATTAGTTCCTACAATAGTGTTATTTCGAGGCCCTCAAATATTTGTTGAGTAAATATATGAGCAACTCTTAGATTTGAGCACTTTGTATAGAAGGAAATTGCTGAGCATATGATTGTCACTTACATGGCAACCAGCAAGTAAATGTCCATGGCTGACCTCACCTGGCACTTAAACCTGTTTTGTCAAGAGAGGAGAATATTTGTCTTAAAAATCAGTCTTCTAGAATAGCACAGAAAGGCCTTGCATTTCTACTTAACGAAGCCATACAAGGAAACTGGCTGTGATATATAGTAAGGAAACCTGAGTCACTGGGGGTGAGAACAATGGAACCAGGCTCCTAAGCTTAGTGATTTACCATCAGCCCTTTTGTAACATACTACGTCTGTTTCATATAAAATAAATGCATTAGGTAACACATTTCTCCAAAGTGCTAAATGAGATGCATTTGAAGCCTTAAATAACAGCTGTCATTGTCCATTCCCTGGGGTGTACTGTCCAAGCTGATCTAATGATGGTTTTGTTTCTCTGGAGGTTTAAATGGGTCTGGGGCCTTGGGGGCCAAGAAAGTATAAGTGGTTTAGAAAACAATGAAAACGGCCGGGCACGGTGGCTCAAGCCTGTAATCCCAGCACTTTGGGAGGCCGAGATGGGCAGATCACGAGGTCAGGAGATCGAGACCATCCTGGCTAACACGGTGAAACCCCGTCTCTACTAAAAATACAAAAAACTAGCCGGGCGAGGTGGCGGGTGCCTGTAGTCCCAGCTACTCGGGAGACTGAGGCAGGAGAATGGCGTAAACCTGGGAGGCGGAGCTTGCAGTGAGCTGAGATCCAGCCACTGTACTCCAACCTGGGCGGCAGAGCGAGACTCTGTCTCAAAAAAAAAAAAAAAAAAAAAAAAAAAGAAAACAATGAAAACACCCATCTTTTCGATGCCATCCTGCAGACTCTTCCTGCCTTGAATGTTCAAGCTCTCCCTCTTGGCTGGAGCTATCCCATCAGCATTTTAACATGCTCAGGTTTCTCTCATCTTAAAACAAACAAAAATGCACCCCTCAGCCACTATTGCTCTTCTGTGCACAGCCCAATTGCGGGAGGAGCAGTATACACTTTTTAAGCCATTTTCTCACTTCCCACCTGCTCCTCAATCCATTCATTCCGCTTGTGCTCCATCAACCCACAAAAATGCACAGCAACTGACTTCCACGCCACTAAACCCCATGTCCTGTTCTCACTTCTCTCTCGAGGAGCCTCAGAGCCTCTCTGCATTTCTCACCCGAACTTCCTTATTCCTATTCCCAGCTTGCAGTTTATAACGTCAGCAAAGAGAGCGTAACTGTCCACGCCTTTCTGCTACATAGGCACACATATAATCCATAGCCATGTGCGTTTATACATTTGCCTCTTCCGAAATTATTGGTCAAATTACTTTATGATTTCCTTTTTTTATTTGACAATATATCCTAGACAGTCTATAAATCAGAACATGCATTTCTAGCTCTACCTTTATTTTTTTTTTATTTTAGTATATAAATGTATGTATATTCAGACATAACTTTGTTAGGTTAGCACGTTAGATCAAGTCATTACAAATTACAGAGAAAAACTAGACTTTGCATCGGGGGTTCTCTTGAGAGTTTCCAGTGGGGCAGGGATAGTAGTGGTGGAAATTGTGAGTGCACAGATTTCAGCTCAATATGATTTAGAGTGAGCATAATTTACCCTGGTCTCAGGCCCCATCCCACTAGAGCCACAATTTTTTTTTTGAGATGGGGTCTTACTTTGTTGCCCTGGCTGGAGTGCACTGGCAGGATCTTAGCTCACTGCAGCCTCCGCCTCCCAGGTTCAAGTGATTCTCATGCCTCAGCTTCCCCAGTAGCTGGGATTATAGGCACACGCCACCATGTAACCAGCTAATTTTTGTATTTTTAGTAGAGATGGGGTTTCACCATGTTGGCCCGGCTGGTCTCTAACTCCTGGCCTCAAGTGATCTGCCCACCTCGGCCTCCCAAAGTGCTGGGATTGCAGGTGTGAGCCACTTTGCCTGGCCCCATTAGAACCATTTTATCTTTAGAGTCGCTAAGCAGCTAACTGAAAAGAGTGGTTTCATTTTCTGTGTTTTGGGTCTAAATATTAAATGAAAGAGCATTTACATTGCTAAGCAAGATAAGGTATGACTGCAACACCTTGCAAATAATTTTGCTGTCTCCTTCAGAGCTGTCACCTTGGGAAGTGATAACCACATTCCAACAACAGTGTTACTTCTCAAAGGATTCTTGGAAATTTTCTTTTAGCCTAAGATCTGTCACTCTCTTTCTTCCCTCCAACTTTGAAAGATAGTTATAAACGTAATGCTTGCCGCCGGTGAAAGCTGAGTAAAATCCAAGCAAGCCCGGCTGTGCCCGGACTGCCCCTGCTGACACTGGCGAGGCGCAGTGAGGCCTACCCGGGAGAAGGAGCCCCCCATCTGCTGCCATCTGGTTCATCACAGTCCCATTTGGCCCAAATGACAGATCCTTTCCTTATAATTTTCCAACTAAGCCTCTTATAGGAATCTTCTGAAAATTCTAGTTATCACAAGTATTTTCAAACATCAACCTCTTAAAAGAGTAGCAAAAGTCCAGAAGATTACAAGACTTCTGTGTTTGTTCATTTATAGTAGACAATTGTTTTCAGAAGGAAATTTCCAAAAGTTGAGTTCTCATCATTAACTAGAACAGCTGAACAAAATGAATTTTCCCTTATAAGATAAAAACAGGATTCATAGCAAAAACAAAGCAAAACGAAAAACCAAAGCAAACCGGAAAACCCAAAGGGATGATACAAGAAGGAAAAAAAACAGATCTCGAGAGGAACTTCTGGACACAATGAAAAAAAGTTGTTAAAAACAAATAATTAAACGTTAATTTAAACTATCATTTAGAATGATATTGAAGGGCCAGGCACAAAGGAGGTGTGACTCATTATAATCTAAAGAAGGCTGCCTGAGTCCGGGAACTGCCTAGGGCCTGGCAAACAATGGCCCAAGTGTCAGGTGCCTGCTTTCGTATGCCCGCCAGCTAAGAATGATTTTTGTGTTTTAAAATATTTGAAAAAAGATTTAATGACGTAAAAAAAATTGTATGAAATTCAAATTTTCAGTGTCCATAGTTTTACAGGAACACGGCCACGTTTGGCCACTTATGTACTGCTGACAGCCACTGCGTTACAGCAGCAGAACTGAGTGGCTGGAACAGAGACTGTGTAGCCTGCAAGCCCTAAAATAGCTCCTATCTTTTCCTTTACAGAAAGCGTCTGCCGACTTCTGTTCCAAACCCAATTTTACCACCATCAACTCTTTGTGTGAGCTCAAGCTGGTGTTTTCCCTCTGGCTCCACCTATGTAAACAAAGGGGCCTGGAGAAGATGATAGGGGCCAGGACCCCTATCTGGAGGTCAAGCTCTGCACCGCGGGACACGGCAGGAAAAGCCAGCAGGAGCACGTGCCCGCTGATGCCACCTGCAGCCCATGAAGAAAACGGCAGGCACAGAGGCCGCCTGCTGAGGAAGCATCTCCCAGCAGATCTCAGCACATCCTCTCTAGCGGGGGCTCTTAAATACCTCTTTCCCAACTGATGCCATCAGTGATCAAAAACCTGGCTTTTACACATTTCAGAAACTGACAGGCCATGACTCCAAACAAAACACATCGTCTGACATCCACTTTTTCAGTGAATGCTTCCCGCGAATGAAGGCAGGCAGATCAAGTATGACCAGAGGGGACAACAGGTCTTTTCCTTCTGGGTCTCTGAAGGAAAACCATGTAAAATCTTGTCATCTGAAAATCCAACTACAGTCCCCGAGTCACCATTCTTTACGTCATTTCAGAGACTCACATACATTAACTTCTAAACCTTCATGCTCTAAAACACAAGCAAGTAGATTTTTCACAGCTGAGGAAACACAAATCAAAAGAATGCAAATAACAGAGAAAACTGGTCAGTTCCGTTAGCTCTGAACTAAACCCAGGACCTCTCAAGCCAGAGACTCTCGCGAGGCACCGACGCGCCCAGCACTCCCACCGCTGAGGAAGACAGGCCAAGGCTCGTGCCCCTTCAGAGCAAAAGCTCACACAGAAGAATGGTCATTGTTCAGCTTCCCATGAAACCCGAATGGCGGGCAATGCTGCGTCTGTGCTGTGAACCCAGGGAGTGTGGGAGTCTTCAAACATGGCCACTGGGCTCTCCACATGAGACCCCAAGTGAGACCTGAACCCCCACCCAGCAGAGCTTTAGCCAACCCCCAGAATTGTGAGAAACAGTGTCGCAGGAATGAAAAATCTCCATTTCTGGACTAACTTGTCAAGGCAGGAAAGAGAGAATAGTTTGGTAAGAGTTTTCTATGTGGTGTCAGGAACCTCCAACTTACTTCATCATCTTCATCTTCATCATCATCAGATTCAAGAACACCATCTGGTAGCTCTTCTATAAAGAAAAAAAGAATCAATGAGTAATGGATAAACAGTGGGAGCACCGGTCCCCGGAATCTGTCAGCCTCTGCAGAGACAGAAACATCTTTTTTTTTTTTTTTTTTTTTTTGAGACGGAGTCTCGCTCTGTCGCCCAGGCTGGAGTGCAGTGGCCGGATCGCAGTGGCCGGATCTCAGCTCACTGCAAGCTCCGCCTCCCGGGTTTATGCCATTCTCCTGCCTCAGCCTCCCAAGTAGCTGGGACTACAGGCGCCCGCCACCTCGCCTGGCTAGTTTTTTTTTGTGTTTTTTTTTTGTAGAGACGGGGTTTCACCGTGTTAGTCAGGATGGTCTCGATCTCCTGACCTCGTGATCTGCCCATCTCGGCCTCCCAAAGTGCTGGGATTACAGGCATGAGCCACCGCGCCCGGCCGGCGACATAAACATCTTAATGAGAATGAGGTTACATTAAAGTCATCATACTCCTAATCATCCTAATCACAACCATTTCAGTCACTGTCTGATACCATCCTAAGCAATTTTAAAGAGTAAATCTCTCCATTTTTACCAGAACAGTTATAGTAGCATGGGAAAAATTAAAAGCCAGCATATAATTTTAGAGGAATTTAAGGGAACGAAAGTATATAAATATTTATATCTAGGCATCATGCTAGATCCTGCCACACCCGTTATTTCACTTAATCCTTACAAATATTTTGTTGACTATTATCCCCCATTTTACAGAGACACAGAGAGGACAGAGGCTCCTTGGTCTCACTTCCAGTAAGTGGCAGACAGTTGAGATTCAAACCGAATCTACTTCTAAACTCCATGATTTTTCCATGGGCAGTATGGGTGGTGGTCACGGCAGGTAGGGTTCCTGAAGGCTCTGTGGTCCATTGCTAGGTCTTTTTAAGACTTTACAAAAGAGCAGTAAGTTGGTAGCACAATGGAGTTACAGAACAAAGAGCCCCTGCTTCCTCCTCTGTAGAATAAGGATCGTATCAGTCACTTCTCAGGGGTCAGGAGGACTGCACAATACACCACAAGGGAAGCGCCTGGCCTAGGGCCAGGTACGAAGCAGGCTCTACAGAGGTGCTGGTACTTTCTCCTCCACGAAGTCTTCCCTGATCCCCTTGCTCAGCACCCATCTCTTCCTCCCCTGAACACACTCGGCGTTTTATCTAGAACTCCTGACAATTCACGCCACTGCTGGAAGATTGCTGCTTACTAATGAGTGAATGCCTGCTGACTTGTCTCTCACCCACTGCACTGGACTGTGAGTCCCTGGGGACAGAGCAGCTGACTTACTCCTCCCTCTATCCCTACTACATCTTTCTTATTATCACTTGTTTCTTGAACAAATGACATGAAGGTAAAGAAAGGCTGAAAGAAGAAAGGAAGTCAAATGGGAAGTAGGAGAAAAGAAGGAACCAAAGGCCATACTTGAGGAGAGCACCCAGCTTGTAAAGGTGGCAGGCAGGATGCACCCACATTTGATCAAACATCAAACCATTCCCAGGAAGGAAGATATAGAAACCCATGTTCTCAACCTAGCGCTCATTCTAAAGGGAAGGACTCCACTGACTTCACCGGACCGAGGCCAGCGGGACACCAAAATGTGCCCCTGCTCACTGAGGCTTGCAGGCCCCACGGGTCGTAGCATTGTTGTGGAATGCCATTTAGTCTAGAAAGCGACTTTCCAGGCATGAAGACGTGATGCCACTCTGCTTTCTGCTGAAGTTTAATGACTAACTTCCCTATCCACGAACAGCATACGCCATTCCACTTTCAGGAAGTGCTGCTGCACTCATCAGTTATAAACCGCTCATTTTCGAAAACAGAAATGCCTTTTTTAAGACTCTTGGCTATTTTGTAAGGCCACAGATAGCCCAGCCACGCTTCTCTTTCTCTGCCTCCCCCTGCCCAGCTCCCCTTCTCCTGACCCCATAACCTCTTGGCCTGCTGGCTCAGACTCATCCCACTACCCAGAATAGTCCTGTCCTGAGAAGTGAAGTGCCTTATAGACCTCAGCACCTCTCTGGGACGACTGTCTCCCATCCTGTTCCCTGAGTTGGTGCACACTCCACGAGGTGCCCACACTCTGATAACTAACGTGCATGGGGCTAGAATGGCATCATTCCTTTCCCGGGGGCTCTGCCTTGCTCCTGCCCAGTGACATGGCTGGTGCCTCTGTTTTCTCTCTGGCGCTGGTTCCCCTCACTGACGGCTGGCATTGTGGTCCAGGCCCAAGCCTGGGGACAAATCTCCCTGCTGTTGCTGTTGGCAGCTCACCCTGCGTTGTCAATGTCACCAGCTGGAATTTTCCTTTAGGCTTTGCCAGAATAGTCCTTCCCCACCTGTGGGGTTAGGTCACTAAAATATACTTGAATTTTAATACTTGAAGACCTTAAAACCGTACTGGAAAATTGTGCTAGAAGACTGAGATTGGACTTGGACGTGTGAAAACCCACAGAGATGTTTTCAAGTTTCTTAAAATAGAACAAGGAAACCAATACTCTAAATAAAGATGGTGGCAATGCCATTTCACACATCTTAAGAACTGGTACACTAGCAACAATTTGCACTCTGCTATTGATTTCCACTTGAGGATGAAGACAGGCTGGAGGCTCTCCTCCTGGGTTTCACTTTGATTTGATGCTGGTGATGGATGTCGCGAGGTAGTTGTGTGTCTGGTCTTCCACCTGAATGTTTAATCACTATCAAATTTTGTTTCAAAGTGGCGGGCTCCTGCTGCTGTCCTATGGATACAGAATAACTTAGGTGCTTGAGATAGAAAGAGAAATACTTTAGGCCCTCTTTATTTAAACAATAACTTACTGAACTAAATAGGTATTTCCCAAGCCTTCCAGAACACCCAGGGTTATAAAGCTTTAGCTCTGCCCAAGACAATTTCTTCCAGAGACATCCCTTACAAAAGTATAAACTGTCCCCTTATCCCACTCTAGCAGACTGGTCCAAGGGCCAGGCTTATGAAAGAGAAAAATGATGCTTCTTGGGTCAGAGAGTAAAAGGGGCCTACCTCCTGCTTCTTGGCTGCCAGGAAGGAGGGAAGACAAGGAGACAGATGTATCTCAGTGGACTAAAACACACAGGTGGCCTTGAAGAAGATTCTCAGCCTGAATGCACAGAACTCCTGGCCTGGGAGGGCTGGGCACAGCTGATGACTATGGCATGGATGTGCAACAATCCTCCGCCCCTACCCTGTGGCCTACCCAGACAAGGCGGGAGAGCAACCTCAGGCAGGACTGAGGTTCAGGTTTTGTTTTATTCTTTTTCAATATGCCAGAATGAGGGTTGAGAGTCAGAAATAAAGTTACTGCAAAAAATAAAGTTCTAATTTTTGCCCACCTGAATTTGGGATGAATTATAGCTGTTCCATAAAACCCAAAGAAGAGATATTCAATGCAAATGCGCACCCAGCCTTAAAAGGACAAAGGTTTCAAAGCTCCCTGGCTGCTCTCCTCAGCTGCCTCCTTTTCATCGGGAGCCCCTTGGACATCCTCGTTTCTGCGACCCAGGCAGTGATGCTCCGCCTTGGCTGCACATGGGACCCCCACTGGGAGCTTGAAATCCCCTCCCTGAGAGGTTCTGATTTAATTTATGTGGGGTACTGTCTTAAAATATTTACACATCCCCCCCGGTGACCACCCTGTACAGCCAGACCGAACCCCGAGCTAGAACAAAGGCCACCTGGGGGCTTCTGGCCTTGGCCGAGCAGCTGACTCGAGACTCACTCTTCACTTTCTGCTCGCGTGCGGAAGGGATTCATGCATGTGACTTGCAGTGATGTGGACTGATGGGTGTTAGGGAAGGGCATGAAGAGAGACTCGGTGACAAACCTGGCCCTGGGTTCCAGCAGTGCTTGGCACCTCTGGCAGGAGAACGATGTCAGGAGTCTGCAGAAAGAGCCAAAGAACTTTCCCCACGACCTCTGCCCCATCCCAGGCTTCCTGGCCTTCCTCTCTCCTGCTGACTATGGGATGTGGGTTGTTACGGTAATGGAGTAGCCTGGATAGAAAGAGGATCATATTGCCTCCTTCCACACTGCAGTTGGCAGCATCAGTGTTTCCGGAGTGAATGAATAAAAGTGGGAAAATGATGAAGTTTCCTACAGTAGCATTTGCTTTCATTATCGAACCCCTGGACCCTGGGGAAGCCACCTTAATAGTGAGTCAGGATTTAGGAGGGGAAAGGGAGAGGCCACATAAAGAGAACTTACAAGGTTAGGGAAGGGTTTCTGTAATTGCTTTTAAGTTTTTTTTTGTTGACTATATGCCTAGAGTATGATAAGAGATTGTTAATCTTTGGACAATCTGGCCTTGACTACCTGGCTGAACCTTTTTTTTTTTTTTTTGAGATGGAGTTTCGCTCTGTTGCCCAGGCTGGAGTGCAATGGCACGATCTCGGCTCACTACAACCTCCACCTCCCAGGTTCGAGCGATTCTCCTGCCTCAGCCTCCTGAGTAGCTGGGACTACAGGCATGCGCCACCACGCCCGGCTAATTTTGTATTTTTAGTAAAGATGGGGTTTCACCACATTGGTAAGCCTGGTCTTGAATTCCTGGCCTCAGATGATCTTCCTGCCTCGGCCTCTCAAAGTGCTGGGATTACAGGTGTGAGCCACCACGCCTGGCCTACCTGGCTGAACTTTTGTCTATGGGTTCACTTGGGTCTCCCCACCTCCCTAAAGGCCTTTTTTTTTTTTTTTTTTTTTTGAGATGGAGTCTCGCTCTGTCACCCAGGCTGGAGTGCAGTGGTGCAATCTCAACTCACTGTAACTTCTGCCTCCTGGGTTCAAGCAATTCTCCTGTTTCAGCCTCCTGAGTAGCTGGGACTACAGGCCAAGTCACCACACCTGGCTAATTTTTGTATTTTTAGTAGAGACGGGGTTTCACCATGTTGGCCAGGCTGGTCTCGAACTCCTGACCTCATGATCCGCCCACCTCGGCTTCCCAAAGTACTGGATTACAAGCATGAGCCACCGTGCCTGGCCTCCTAAAGGCCTCTTGAATGAAATGCCATGTGTCTTTCTGGCAAATGTGAACAATGCAAAAGACAGATCAAAGATTCTTGCATCAAACTGACCGGAATTAAGCTGCTTGATGATGAATTCTATCTGGCGGATCATTTCAGCGTTGCCTTCTTTGATGAAGCAGCGTAGGATGTCTTCCATTCCCTAGAAGTATTGGCGAGAGTGACAGTTAACATTTCAGTGTTTTGGGGGAAACTACGTTTCAATGAGGTCATCTCATCTAATCCAAAAAATAGTATTTTGGGGAGAGGAAGAGGATATCTTGGGTGGGGGATGGAGAAGAGGAGAGAGCTATCTTTATGAGATAGATACAAAAATTCAGCTCTCCCAGCAGGGCAGGGCCAAGGCAGTCATTGGTTGGTAACTATCTCTTTGGCAAGACAAACCTGGCCAGGTGTCCAACTGGTCCCACAAGGGCAGAAGGAAAAATCCTTGGCTTATATTAAACATTCTTTTTGTCCTTTTTATAATTCATAGTGAAATAATTTTCTTCTTATTGACTCTCTGGCTGAATTATAACACATTTACAAAAAAAAACCAAAAAACAAAAAACAAAAAATCTATTGTAAAATTTTACTGTACAATATTGCCTTAAGTTTTGGCAATATGTTGGTCTGGGGCTCGGTTTTTTCCTATGTTTTCCCTAAATTTATAAACTGTCTTCTGGATTTTAGGGCCAAATATGATCGTTGAGAAGTGAAACCATATGCTTAGAGAAGTAAATGAACAAATAGAACCTCTCTTTAAACAGATTTCATTCTTTTTCTATTAAAAGAATTATAAAGTCACTACACTATACATTGTTTATAATAATACCCTGACACCAGAATTCTCAATACTAGCTAAAAGAATTCCAGGGAAAAGTAGGGATGAGATATTGACTTAAGCACATTGTCTAATTCCTCTCCCTCCTCTTCCCTGGCAGGATTTGAACGAGTCTGTACAGCTTGAGCTTATGAGGCCTCTAACCGCTGTGAGGGGAAAGTGCTTCTAGTAATGACCTCAAAACAGAGGAAGTGGAGTCCAGAAGTACTGCCAGAGAAATGGATCTAGTGGCATGTGAGCTCCTGATCAAACTGTGCCTGAACATTTTCCTGGACTTTTCAGTTACATGAGTCAATAAGTTCCCTTTTTATGTAGGCCAGTTTGGAATCAATAGCTCTAACTGAATCAAAGAAATGCCAAGTGCAGCTTTGAATTTGCTGAGTTCTTATCATCCAAAGCAGAGCATTACCTTCTAGAAAAGTTAAATCAGTATTGTAATTGCAATTAGTTCCCTCATGAATTTAATGTGTGACCTCACTCAAATCACTTAACTTCATCCAGCCTGTTTCTTCGACTATAAAAATGAGGATAACAATTTGAGTTGACTTGAAATTTTTAAAAGACAAAGTATATAACTGGGTGTTGGTATGCAGATATACACATTTGTCAAGATGCGCTAAACTCCCCCATGTAAGGCCTGTGCTTTTCACTGTTTGTAAATTACACCTGAAGAAACAGCCTCTAGTCCAATGGCTGGCACAGAGTGGATGCTTGATAAATGGTCAAGATTGTGCTTGCTGTGTCCAGTAGGGGTTCGTGGCTCAGGAGAGAGATCTGGGAGCTGAAGCAAAGGGAAGAAACAAGGTTCCCCAGTGATGGCAGTGAGAGAAGAGCAGAGGGTGAGGATAGAACCTTAGGGAACAGTCACACTGAGCTGGGAGGCAGAGATGGGTAAGCTCACAGAGGCGGAGGGGACAGTCTGGAAGGAAGAACTCTGGAAAGCTGTCCGTGAGCTGAGGGACCAGCAGTGCCCAGGCTCCTGTAGGACCATTTGGACATCTGGCCAGGCTTGTCGTACCAGAGAGACAGTTACCAACCAATGACTGCCTTGGCCCTGCACTGCTGGAAGAGCTGAACTGTATATCTCACAAACGTGTCTCTCCCCTCTTCTCCATCCCCCACTCAGTATCAGGACCACAGGAAGGAGACAGTTATCAAGCAAAAGCAGTGTGATAAGCCCCTTGTAAAAATCTTTACTTATTTATTTATTTTTTGAGATGGAGTCTTGCTCTACCACCCAGGCTGGAGGGCAGTGACATGATCTCGGGTCACAGCAACCTCCAACTCCAGGGTTCAAGTTACTCTCCTGACTTAGCCTCCCAAGTAGCTGGGACTACAAGCATGTACCACCATGCCTGGTTAATTTTTGTGTTTTTAGTAGAGACGGGGGTCTCGCCATATTGGCCAGGCTGGTCTCGAACTCCTGACCTCAGGTGATCTGCCCACCTTGGCCTCCCAAAGTGCTGGATTACAGGTGTGAGCTACCATGCCTGGCGATAAGCCCTTAAAGTGGCAAAGATCAGAAGTGCCACTGGCTATCTCAGGAACGTCAATGTCTGAGCATTTTTACCAGTGGAGCGAGGCCAATCATTCACTCAGGGTCTATCTTTTCTTACCAGACGTTACTTCTGCAAGATTATCTGCTCATTATTTGGTTATATATTTAAAGATCTTTGTTTGTTTTTGAGACAGACAGGATCTCACTTTGTTGCCCAGGCTGGAGTGTAGTGGTGTGATGACAACTCATAGCCTCAACCTCCCTGGCTCAAGCGATCCTCCCACCTCGGCTTCTGGAGTAGCTGGGACTACAGGTGTGCACCACCATGCCTGGCTAATTTTTAAAAAATTATCGGTAAGACAGAGAATGCCCAGGCTGGTCTCAAAACTCCTGGCCTCAAGTGATCCTCCCGCCTTGGCCTCTCAAAGTGCTGGGATTACAGGCATGAGCCACCATGCCCAACCAGACCTTTTTATTCTCATTTACTCTCTTTCATGTATCTCTAGCGTAGTTATTACTTGGGGGCCGTGGGGGGGAACTCCTCTGTAATGAAGAATTGAAGCTGTCTTGTTTTTAGAGACAGAGTCTCACTATGTTACCCCGGCTGGAATGCAGTGCCACAATCTCAGCTCACTGCAATCTCCGCCTCCCAGGTTCAAGTAATCTTGTGCTTCAGTCTCCCGAGTAGCTGGGATTACAGGTGTACACCACCACGCCTGGCTAATTTTTAAAAAATTATTGGTAAGACAAGGAATGCCCAGGTTGGTCTCAAAACTCCTGCCCTCAAGTGATCCTCCTGTCTTGGCCTCTCAAAGTGCTGGGATTACAGGCATGAGCCACCATGCCCAACCAGACCTTTTCATTCTTATTTACTCTTTTTCATGTATCTCTAGCATAGTTATCACTTGTGGGGTTGGGGGGGGGGAACTCTGCAATGAAGAATTGAAGATTTTTTTGGTTTGTTTTAGAGACAGAGTCTCACTATGTTACCCAGGTTGGAGTGCAGTGCCACAATCCCAGCTCACTGCAACCTCCGCCTCCCAGGTTCAAGTAATTCCTGTGCCTCAGCCTCCCAAGTAGCTGGGATTACAGGTGTGCACCACCATGCCTAGCTAATTTTTGTATTTTTAGTAGAGATGGGTTTTCTCCATGTTGGCCAGTCTGGTCTTCAAGACCGGTTCAACTCGTGACTTCAAGTGATCCACATGCCTCAGCCTCCGAAAGTGCTGGGATTATAGGCATGGGCCACTGCACCTGGTCTGAAGCTTTCTTAATAGCAAATTCTCCAGTGAGAAATATCTTTTTTTTTTTTTTGGAGACAGGGTTTTACTCTGTTGTCCAGGCTAGAGCGTAGTGATGTGATCACAGCTCACTGCTGCTTCAACCTCCTGCACTCAACTGATTCTCCTGCCTCAGCCTCCCAAGTAGCTGGGACTACAGGCACGTGCCACCACACCTGGCTAATTTTTGCATTTTTTGTGGAGATGGGGTTTCACCATGTCACCCAGGCTGGTCTTGAACTCCTGGGCTCAAGCAGTCTTCCTACCTCAGCCTCCTAAAGTGGTGGGATTACAGGTGTGAGTTGTATGCCCAGTCAAAATATCACATATTTTTTAAAAATCACATACATTAGGTAATATTTAATCTAAGTTATAGAAAGAAGTCATAACCGCATCTCATCCTAAAAGTAATAACTTCTCATTTCAGATAATTTAGGTCAAGTAACAACACCCAGGTAGACCGAAGGATAACAAAAGGTCCTAGTGAATCATCCAGATGCATAAAAATGGTTACACAAGCAGTATGCAAAAAGTAAATAAGGAACTCCTGCTCCTGGCAGCTAGCTATGATTAAAGACCGCCATAAAGATAATCCTACAGAAGCCTGTATTTGTGTGTATAGTGTTTAAGAAAACAATTTGTCATGTGCAGACGTCTGACTAGGTGAAAGTCCCAAGCCTGGAGTGACACTGCGGCACAGGTGCAGAGGGCTCTGGAGTCAAACCGTGGTTAGCAGCCCCTCGCTGGCCGTGTGGCCCCGGGCAGAGGATTTCACCTTTAAGCCTTGATGTTTTCAGCAGCAAAAGGGGCACCAATACAGTCCCTCCTTCAGGGCACCTTGGAGGGATTAAATGAGAGACAGCATCTCTTCCAGAGACTGACAACACACACTCAACACTACATAGAACAACTAACTTCGAACTCACTTCTACTTTTACTCAACTGAACTCTAGCACATTCTATCGTTCCAGCTTCACAGTCTAATCCTCTATCACTAAAGGTCTTCAAGGGAAATTTTCCCTTGAGAAATTCAAATATCTATTTCAGGTAGATATAAATATTTTCCTCTAGTTATGAAAGTGATACAAGTTCTGTATAGAAAACTTGCAAACAACATACAAGAAAGAATAAAAATTACTCACAGGCCCCCACCCAGAGATAATTGGGAACATTTTGAAGTATTTCCTTCCTTTTATGTGCATTGTTTTACATAACTCAGAACATATTGATATTATGTTGTTTATTTAACTTTATGATTATTTTCATGTTTGATAAAAACCTTATAAACCACATTTTCATAGCTATAATAATAGCAGCTAACATCTCTCAGTGCTTACTGTGTGCTAGGCACTATTCTAAATACTTTGTATTATGAGCTCCTTTAATGCTTACAATTCTATGAGTTTAGTACTGCAACAATCCTCATCTTACAGATGGAAAAACGATCACACTGAGAGCTTCCAACTAGGAAGTGGCAGAACATGATTCAAAGCCAGGCTCAGGGTCAGGAGCACCCACTCTCAACCACTCCACCTTCTGGC